CTTGCGGGCGGGCTCCATGCCCGCGGGGGCCAGGCCGGGTCGCACGGCGGGGCTGCCCATGTAAGGGGAGCCCGGGGGGCCCATGGGCGCCCCCTGGTGGGGCATCCGGGCTCCAGACGGCATCCCGGGGCGCTGGGGGGGAGAAGGGGGGCGAAGGGTGAAGCAGAAACCGGCACCCGCGGGTCCCGGGGCGCGCGGGGAGGGGGTAGAGGGCGGCGGGCGACCCCAGGTGGGCGACCCCGAGCGCCGCCGAGCAATTGGTGGGAGGGGCGGGGAGGAGGGGCAGGGGCTCGGCGGAGGGGGGCTCGGCGTCTCTCCCGCGGCAGGAAGCTAACTGAAGCCAGGCGATTGCTCAGGGCATGGCCGAGACCCGAGCCGCGCGCGGGAGCGGCGGAGGGGGATACGCGGGGTGCCTCGCCGCCTCTCCGAGGAGGCTGCAGGACAGCCCGGGCAGGTCCGTTCGCCCCCACTTGTCAGATGGGCTCACTGGGGCTCAAGGAGAAAAGCCACCCCGCCAAGGTCATCGGCGTCGAGGCCCCTCTCGGGAGGCCCGGCCCTCTTCGGAGGCCAAGGCTCCGGTTCCGCCCTCCCCCCCATGCCTGGAGGTGAGGGCTCGAACTCCTGACTTGAATGAACACCCTGCCTCTTCGTCCCATCCCCTACTTTCCTTCTCTCCTCCTCTCTGCTCGTCCTCTCACCCCCTGCCTCTTTCTGGGCCCCTGATCTTGACCCTTTGGTCTCAGACATTAGACTGACTCTTAAAATATTCACATCTGGGGGGGGGAGTGGGGGAGGTTCTACTGACTTGTCCCCCACTCTTAATTTCTTCCCAAGGGGAAAGAAGGCTGGAGGCAGGTCTGATGTCACACTTTGCCAGGTTTCTCTGAGTGGGAGGGACGGCTGGGCTGTGGGGGGACTAGGGGAGTCCACAAGCATCCATCTCTCCCTCCCTCCCATCTAGATCAGGAGATGGCCCATCCCACAGACCCCCTCTATTCCCTGCCCTACCCCCCGGTGAGCTCAGTCAGGGTTGATTCAAACAAGTCACCTTCCCTGCCAAAGTACAAATGTCTCTGAGTGGTATGTTCTTTGGGACCCCACTTATCGAGACCCCAGAAGGGAGATGGGGGGGCGCCCAAGGACTATGGATGAGAGGTGAGATGAAGACTGGGTCAGGGGAAGCCAGAAGGAGACTAGAGAGGGAGGAATGATCATTGGGACACCCCCCTGTACCCCCTGGGCACAAGGAAGAGGCCAGGGCCTGACTCTAGGCTTGGTGTCTGATCCCAACACTTCTACCCCTAGCCAGCAGCTGTCTCTGCTCATCTCTCCCAGACCGCCTGCTTCTGTCACTCACTCCTCCAGAGTGGCAGGCCAGGCCTGGCCATTCCCCACTACCATAGACCAAATACTGGCCAAGTGGGGCTCACAGTCCCCTGAGAAGGAACCTCTAGTTTAGCTGTGTTGAAATTCCTGTGTAGAGTTCCCCCCACGGGTGGACCTCTTTCCAGCAGCTGCCCCAAACAGCAAGGTGAAGACTGTTAACCCCACTGTCCCCCACCCCCACCCTTGTCCCAAGATCCCTGGGTCTGGAGGACAAGCTGCCTTCTCCTATCTATCCCCCCCCCCCCCCCTCTCCCCATCCCCAAGGCCAGTGCTTCGGGGTGGACTTGACTGGCCACCCTCCGGGCTCCGCCAGCCACCAGCACCACCCCTGGAAGAGGACTGCCCCCTCACGGGGGTGCTTTCCTGGGGTCACAACCAAATTTGGCCATAGTAAACAGGCCTCCCCCTCCACTGCCCCCAGTCCCCAGATCCCCTGCTTCCCAGCCGGCCCCCTGCTGGCTCCTCTCGGGCCTCCACCCCCCCCCCAGCACCCCACGTGCTTTCTCGCAGCCTGCCTGTGGCAGGACAGCACAGGGCTGGCCCTCAGGTCTGTAGGCCTCATGGCCCCAGCTCCCAATCTTCCTTCGCACCTTGGAGGTGTTAAGGTCATCAACTTCTGGGGCTCGAGCCTGCGGGAGGGGGGAGGGACTCGTGTGGCCCTGAGCCCCAAGACCCATCCCCAGAGCAGGCCTCTCTGCCTGACCCTGACAGCAGCGGCAGCCGTTGCTCAGCGAGAGGGCTTCCCGCCCGCAGGGCCACCGGGGTCACCTGCTCCTTGCTCCGGAGACCCCCATCGGAGTGACACTGGGTGACCCTGTCCCGAGGGAAGTCCGGGGACAGCCGGACGGGGGCGCCTGGCCCGGTCCCCCACCCCCACCCCGGGGCAGGGGTACACCTAGGCCCACCAGCAGGAGAAAGGAAGACAACGTGTCGGTTACAGACGGAGAGGACCCCCTCCACACGCACACGCACACGCGCACACACACGCACACGCAGTGGGGAG